ATGAAAGACAACGCCTAGGTAGAACAGACAAGGGAAAACATATGTACTGTGTCGTACAACAAAAAGACCATTCATGCTTGTACCAAGCTTCCCAACGTATCTGGATCTTTAAGGGTGCGGATCAGTAATATGACATGTGCACATTTCCACAAAAGATACAAAGTATGTAGGTGGTGAACAAGCTATTGCTTCTTGATGTGAACCTAAGCACAGCTGAAAAGCATGTAACCGTAGTTTGCTTGAATGGTCCTCAACGTATCCAAAACCAGTGCAACAGACGTATAATCAGGTGTAATAATTTGTACTGGCGTAAATCAACGCAGCTGGTTTTAAACTATGAATTTTATGCAGGACCAGCTACAACAGACAATGAAAAGGCACATGAAGAAGACAGAATAAATTAGTAAAACTCGAGGAAAAAGAGAAATAGAATGATTGTTATCAAGCACGAGAGAATTAATTTTTATGTACAATGATTAAACCGATTTTTTGCAGGGCATTTTTCAGTAAGTCCTACGAGGACGAGGTTCCCATATGCGTATGTTGTAGTTAATTTGTTTTTGTGCTTTGTAGCTAATTACTGAGTATTTTTTTCCACAGAAGTTCATAATGGTGAAATGCAGAATTTCTGATCGAGCGACATGGGCGTTTTCGTTCTAGGTCACTTCATGCGTTCCTTCGCAGCTGCTTAAGTCGATGATATGCACGTTTGAATTTCTGCTGACAAACTTCAATGGTGTCTATTATCTGCCGTCGGAGTGGAATTCGATTAGGTCGTTGCACATCGCCGAACTGGACCTGGTGTTGGACCGAGCAAAGCAGGCTGCGACGTTCCTCGACACCCACAAGCCATGCTTCAAGTCAAGTCTGCTGAAAGAGAAGCCCGAGCTGGCGTTCTTGCCGACCAACCTGCACTTACAACGATTGACGATAGCCAACGATGGTCAGCAACAAGACATATTCACCTGTGGCGCTTTCGCTACTTGCTTCGAGGAGTGTTACGACAAGAGCTTGACGGAGTTGGTGCAGGAGCTCGCGACAGATAAGAGCAGCAACGGAACGGTAGACAGTACATGGAAGTCGGTGGTAGAGGCGTGCTGCAAGCTCAAGAAGGCCCGAACAAAGCTGGATGAGCTGAGGACACGTTGGAAGCCATTTACACAGATGAAGAGCGAAGTGGAGACCAAGGGAACGCGATTCGCTAACGAGTGCAGAGAGGTGCAAACTCATCTGCAGACACTCTCCGATGAGCCATTTACGCGGTTGTTCATGGAAGACCTGGTCAGCTGGCATGAACGCTATCGCACGATGATTCCAAACGACAGAGACCCGGCTGCCGGCATGGACAACGTATTTGTCCAAGAAGATGACCTGGAAGCCGATCTAGCTTGCCTTGAGGCGAAAGTGCAGAATTGTGGCCGGTGCGTGAGCAACGCCTCTCCTACTGATTGTGGCGCTGTCGTACAACAGTGGTTGCGGCAACTTTACGACAGCGGCTTATCGGTGCTCCACCGACTGGACTCGATGTACGTGACGTGTCTACATAGCTTGCTCTTTAGCCTGATCCGGCGCTTCTCGACCGTCAGTAGCATCAGGGCTTTCTACCAGTTATTCTACCGCATGAATGCTGCTATGTCCCAAGCGCTGACCACCGTCATTGCCGTGCTGACCAACGCATGCTGGCAGCTGAACGACGACAACGCCAGGAACAAATCTCGGACATGGAGCAGCTGTGGCGCGTTGTTCGTTGTCACCTCACTCCTATCGTGCTACCAGCTCGAAAAGACGATGATAGAGGAGGCCTGTGCGGTGCTGGACCTGGTCGAAAATCGTTGCAAATTCCGGCTGATAAAATGCTCTGAAGCAGCACTGACGTACCTTCCACTGGTCGAAGGTGATCTGTCAAGCATGGAGGTGAGTGAATGAGAAAAAACCACTCTGGTCACTCTACGTTTGATTCAGTACACTCAGGGTGCTTGCTTTGTCTTGTCTACTTTGACTGTTTACTTCTGGCATTTATTTCTGCCTCGGTTGGCAATGGCAATGGTTTCAGTCTTTTAACTTCAGGTAGCACTGTAAGTTGTTGAATGACAGGACTACTTTAGGAAAATGTACCCTGTAGTAGACCCAGTTAATAAAATCTTGTTTTTTCTTGTTTTTCTTGGCACCTTCCTTTCAACAGGGATCCACTGTTCGAGTCCGTGGCATAATGGCCATTCACTTTACAGCAGTACTGCAGTACCGTTAGATGCAAGACAATCTTTACACCAAGTTGGATCGCAACATTGCACCGCCCCTTGCTTCCCGCAGCATACGGGGATTATTTAAGCAAACTGCGGCTCCGTTGTATTTAAGCGACTGCACTGCAAAGGACACATACACTGGGAT